CTTAGGGATGCCCACTTCCCACAAGTGAACAAATAAAATAAACAAGATTTATTCCTGGAATGGCAGGTTTATCATATAAGGTGAGATTGAATCATTTAGATCTGGATTCACCAGAGTTCAGAAGAATGAGGGGATATCATTGAAACATATTATATTCTGACCAGGCTGAACAGACTAGACGCAGGCTAACGTGCGCCCTGGGCTGGGGGTTCTAGACAAGAGATCACAGTCTCATAATACAGAGTAGATTATTTAGGACTGGGATGAGGACAAATTTCTTCACCCAGAAGGTGGCAAAGCTGTGGAATTCTCTACTACATAAGGCAGTGGAGGTCAGCTAGTGATTGAATATTTAGAATAGAAAGAAATAGGTTTCTAGATACTAAAGGGTTAACGGGGTAGGGGGAGACAGCAAATGTATGACATTGAGACAGAGAATCAGCCACAATCATACTATAGTGAGCTTGCTCCTGCTCCTATTTTCTGTGTTTTTATTTTCCTTTAGAGAAGAAGGGAAGGAGATAGTAGTGCTAGAGAGTTATCATAGTTTCCGACTTACTGTGTGCAAAATCTGGGAAAATTGACTTACTATAATGTATAATAAAAATTCAACATGAAATGAAAGCAAATAGGAAGAGAAGTCAGCCATTAAATCCATTGAGTTTATTCTGCCATTCAATTAGATTAGTCTCCAGAAATCTATCAATTTCCATTTTCAATTAGCTCATCAGTGAGTTTCCACAGGATCTATTGAAAACTCCATGACAGATTATTAAGCAAAAACCGAGCATACATATCCACTCAGGACCTATGCTTTGTCTCTTTCCACAGTCATTATCATTCCATTTGCCTATTGCTCCAGGAACCTTGACCTCTAATCATCCTTGCCCTCTGACTTTCTCCTGACCTTCACTTTTGGTCCGCTTCTTCCTCCATTTTTCTCAACCATATAAAACCCATCACATTTCCATCTCCAAAGAAGTCTTATTAGAATTCAAGTTTTAACTCTATTTCTCTAACAACAGAGGTTGCCAAAACTGAATTTTCCCCAGCTCCTTGTTTTTATTATAAATACCTGCAGTTTATATCATACCCACAGCTGATGTTGCGATAGGTATTATCAAGATTGAAGATGTCACTTTATGCAATAGGTTGCTATTTTATGCTGAAAGTAGGCAGAGTTAAATGCTATTGCAAAGTTTCTGCTAACTGAACCTGTTTTGCAGGCCTTCCAAGAAGTTCTTAGAACTGAGCTTTATCATAGGTAGATTGACACAATGGACAAAAAGAAGTCTCTGAATAAAGTTCCATTTTTAATTTACTATGAAACTGACAATTGTTACACCGATATAATTGGAAAATGATCCTGTGTAGCTTTTAAAGTATTTCCCAGTTATTTAATGTCCATTCATAGGTGATGCCCTAAACAATGGATAAAAATGCCTATTTTTTCATAAACCCATTTTCAATTATGTTAATCATATATTACCTAGTTACCACTCTGAAAAATATCATGGGGCATTTTTATATTTTTTAAGGAAACGGTTGAATTCTAAGACCCAATCTGATTACACTAGTTCATGGTAGATTTTACATTCAGTATGCAAATAAGTTTGAGTGGAAACTTGAGGGGAAACAACATTTAAAGTGACCACAATTTGCAGCTGGATCATCATCTTTGCCCATAGTGAAAACCCCCAAGCCTATTAGTACGCATTCAACTTTAGGTTTCAACTTCAGGTTCTGTCCAGAGTGGTACTTCGACAGGCTTTAAAACAACTTCATAGATTTGGAAATATTCTGAGACTCTCCACCACCTTGTTTGCTATTCAAACTAAGTTAACATTTAAGCTACATCCTTTGTTTCTATTATATTTTATTTTAAATTTTGTCTTCTTTCAGACTTTTAAAAATTTTCTCATGGAATGTATGCAGCACTGTCGAGGTAGTGTTTATTGCCAACCCCCTAAAGACCAATAAAGACAGTGGAGTTGCCTTCTTGAATTGCTGCAGTCCTTGGGTTGTATGTGCACTCACAGTGTTAGGGAATTCCGAGATTTTGGCCTAATAACAGTGAAGGAACAGTGATAGGATTTCAAGTCAGGGTATTGTGAGACTTGGAGAACTTGTAGGTGGCACTGTTCCCATGTAACTGCTGTCATCATTCTTCCAGGCGTTACAGATCCTTGGTTTGGAAGATCTGGTTAAAGGAGCCTTGGTGAATTGTTTAAATTTAGACTGTGGAATGTCTTGAAATCTGAAGCACAAATATGGTGCAATGCTGGTTTTCAGCCTGGAACATTATTGAAGTTTGTATGCAAAGTACTTAACCAAGAACCTGGTCATGACAGAGGTTCCTCAATCTTCTGTCTTCCCAAAACTCTCCAATTCACTATAGTCACTCTCACCCATTGAGATTACAATGTCTCCCTGTATTTTTGCCCATTTTTAGTTACCTAATTTGGTACTGTTAAACTTTTGGACACATTATAGAGTGACACTTGATCAATGATTTCTTTCAGAATCAGGCACTGAAATCATCAAGGTACTGTAAGAAACAAAATCTTTGGGATGTCCATCCACCCCAAGATTCCCAGAAGAATGAATCAACTGCAAAGACTTTCAATTGAAGATATGCCATTCAAGGGACATAGTAAAAGAATTATTACCTGGCTTACAGCAATTATACAGTCCATCATGGTGCAAAGAACTTGAAATAATCAGTCAACCATGGTTTACAAGGGATGCTAAGCATTGTATAAGACTAAAAAAAAGGCTTATAGAATGGCCAGAAATAGGAACAAATGCATATTGGGAGCTTTTTAGAATATAAGGGGAACCAAAGAAGTGACTAGAATAGGAATATAAATACTTTATTTTCCAGAGTTTTGAAGAATGAGAGGGGATCCCCTTGAAACCTATAGATTAGTGCATGGTGTGCATGTCCAGAAATCCTTGAAGGCAACAGGACTCCCTAGTTGGGGGTCATGAACCAATGAAAAATTGGGGCACAATTGAAAAATAAGGTGATACCATTTAAGACTGAAATGAGGACATTTTTTTCCTGTCTTTTTTTAAACTTTCTCTACCCAAGAGGGCTCTGGAAGCTCAGTCCTTGGGTTTATTAGAGGCTGATAGTTCTTTGATTGTAAACGTGGTAAAAGGTTATTGGCTGGTACAGAGAAAAGGCATGCAAGTGTTTGACCGTACTACATGGAAAGCAGGATCAATGGGCTGAATGACCTACTAGCAGATATGGAGGCCTTAATAGAAAGGCACCAGCCTATGCAATAAGCATACACAGATAGCATGTTGTCAAGAGCCCGTGTAGTGATTTTAATTCACAAACTCATAGGTTGTTTGAAATTCTGTGACAACCTCATGGTGCAATCTATATCCTAATAACATTATCAATGAACATTGTCAAATTCTTTAACTTTATATGGGCTCTTGCTCGTCATCAGCAGACCACCTGACGTTCCAGCAATCAATGGGCATCTGTATGTTCCAGGTGCAGTCACACTTTTAGTTTACAAGAAGTGTCTTCAGGCTTGAAACCATTCAGTAATGAAGATATATTACAAAGTTGGAACTGTTTTCCTTGGAGAGCAGAAGGCTGAGAGGAGATTTAATAGAAGTTTTCAAAATCATGAGGGGCTTCACAAGAGTAGATAGGGAGGATTGTTCCCTCTCATGAAAGGATTGAGAATTTGAGTACAGAGAAGGACACAGATAAAAGTAATTTGCAAAACAAACAAAACTAAAAAATGATGTGAGAAAAATTCTGTCATGCTGAATAGTTAGAATTTGAAGCATATTGCTTGGGAGTATGGTGGAGGCAGATTCACTTGAGACATTCAGAAGGATACTTAATGTTTATTTAATTGCTAAGTTAAAAATTACATGAGTCTAGGTTATAATCCAACAGGTTTATTTGAAAACTCTAGCTTTTGTAGCTCTGCTCCTTCCTAAGGCATCACATCACCTGAGGAAAGAGCAGAGCTCCGAAAGCTAGTGTTTTCAAATAAACCTGTTGGACTATAACCTGGTGTTGTGTGATTTTTTTACCTTGTCCACCCAAGTCTAACACCGGCACCTCTGCATCATATTTAATTAAAAACAATATTCAAGATTATGGGTAATGCAGGAGAAGGGCAGCTAGTCAAGATGTTAATTCGGAGAGCTGGTGTACACACAAAACGATGAACTGCTTTCTTCTGCACCTTAATTCTGTGATTTTCACATAATAAAAACAAAGTGCTAGAGAAACTCAGCAGTCATGACAGCTCCTGCACAGAAGAACAGTTAGTGTTTCTAGTTCAGGAATTCTTCTTTAGAATATTGGACTTAAAACCTTGACATTGTTTCTCTCTCCACTCTAAAGCACTTTCTTATTATTTCAGATTTCCAGCACCCACAGAATTTTGCTTTTATTTCTGTGATTTTCACATCCTGAGCACCCTCATTGATCAGAATCTTAAATGGATCAGCCACATAAATGCCAGAGCTGCAGGAGCAAGTCAGCACATGGGTATTCTGCAGCAAAAGATTCGTCTTCTTATTCTGAATTCTGTCTACAAGGCACAAGTTAGGATCACTTGTTTGGATGAATGCATCTCAAACAACACTTGAGAAACTTTACACCATTTAGGCCAAACTAGTGCACTTGAACACCATTGACCACCTTATATATTCATTCCCTCCCCTGGTGGTGCACTGCTGCTACACTGTGTCCTCTATGTCAGGCGGTCAAAATAATAGCAACTTGGCAAACTTTTTCAGCAACATCTACAAACCCACAATCCTTAATCCAAAGCAGCTGCAAGGGAACATCACCACCGTCACCAAGTTCACATACAAATCACCAGCTTGAAAATCCTGATCTAACAGCATTGGGTCAAGCACCAAAGACTGAACGGTAAATCAATGCTACCCCTGTCAGCAATGCCAATTTGAATGAATGAATGAATGAATGAATGAATGAATGAATGAAGATTTATGAAGAATGAATGCTTTATTGTCATATATATCTTGAAGATATAGTGGGAAGTATTTTGTCACTACAATTTGGTGGCGTTTTGAGTTACACTAAGGATAGAAAGGAATTAAGTAAGAGGTCATGTTATGTTCAAAATGGAGTCTCAAGCATGGCTTCAGGGCTTCTGCAAGGTGTCTGGAAGGTGTTCTGGTCCTCAAGGAGTCCCATTCCAGGAACAGCAACGTTGACGCCGATGCCCCAGCTCTGCTGCCACTGCCTCGCCGACACCACCAAGTGTCCAGGTTCCAGGCTTCTGTTCGCTTCAGGCACTGTTACCACCAAGAATTCAGATTCAGGCCTACTGCTGCTAGGAGTCCCTGCAGGAGTCTCGATCCATGCAGCTGCCACCCTGCCGACACCACTCTGGCCTCGAAGAAGGAGGAGAAAGGAAGAAGAAAAAGACTAAATGTACGTGGAAAAAATGATGCTGTCAGCCTGGAGAGGATGGGCTTCGACCAGCCCAAAAACCACCCACCATGCCAGCGCTGTATTGAAGAAACTTTGAGAACAACCTTTCTCAGAACGTTAGCCTAGTTGCTCCTTTTATTTCAGATTTCCTGTATTTTATTTTTCATTTATTCCAAAGTCATGGTACAGTTGGCAAGAACAAATATGCAGAATTGGTTACCAGCCCTAATGATTTACTTCAGAAGGCGGCTGTTGCCTGAGAGGAATCGGTCTAGTTGCAAATGTGAATTCTTTGAAAGGTTTCCTTGAACTTGACGCCGAGTAGATAAGAGGACGTGAACATTCATAACTGGTGCATCATTTTGTACCATAACTAACCAACCCGTTAGACAATGTGAGCACTACAAAAACAAAGTGCACAAACCACGATAAGCCTGTCGGACAGTAATTCCCCGGTAAAGGGGGAAGCGAGGTTACTGGGCTCAGGCCGACACTTCAGCGAGGGGGCTACGGCTTTGGGAGTCTCTAACAGCGGGCACCGATGGGCTGGGGGTCGGTGCAGCTTCTCCTCCTGGTCCTGATCCCCCCGGGGAGCCAGGCCGGGGCTCCACTATCGGCGGGGTGTCTCAGCTGTGAGAAGCTGTGGAAGGTTAAAGAGCGGACCGTGCACGGTGATGACTCCGGCCTCCTGAGGCCTCGGGTTAGCGCCGACGAGTTGGGCTCCGGGGCCGCGCCGCCCCTCGAAGCGGACTCCCGCCTGGGCCTGAAGCCCGGCATGGCCGCCCCTCCCTTCACCCTGGAAACCCTGAACGGAAAGCTGAGCTACCCGGCCATCCCGGAGCAGCCGGGACTCTCTTTCACCTTCCAGGCGTTCACCAACAAGTCGGGCTTCCTCGAGTGTCTCTGGAGCTCAACGGCGTCTCTCGTCGCCCTAGTCGACGGTTTGCCCCCTCACACCCACTTGGTCTTCATGTCCTTCGATGACTCGGCCCCCGGGGATGTCAGGTGGATGAAGCAGCAGCTTATCCCCGTGATGGAGGCAAGGTAACTACCTCCTGAGGGCCAGACACTGGCTGGAGGAGGGAGAGGGATGGTCCAGACACTGGCCGGGAAAAGGATGAGGGTCTAGACATTGGTTAGAGCTGAGGGTCTATCCAGTCACCCCTTCCCACTGAATGCCTCTCCCCTCTCCTATGTAAACGCACAATGAGAACAGTAACTTGCATGGGAGGGTACTGTGGCACAATGGTCGTGTCCCTGTGCTGACAATGGAGAGGTAATAACGGGGAACATAGAAACAGTGGAGGAACTGACTCGGTACTTAGTCTTATTTGGTGGAAGACACCAGAGCTTCAGGAGAGTCAGGGGAAGAGTGCAGTGGCCATCGCTAAGGCGAAAATATGAGGGAAGCTGAAAGGTCTGAAGGTGGATAATACACTCAGACCAAATGGACCACATCCCAGGGTTCTAAAGGAGAACGGTGAGGAGATTGTGGAGGCATTGGTGGTGATCTTTCAGGAATCGCTGAAGTCAGGGAGGGTCCCAGAGGACTGGAAAATGGCAAATGTAACATTACTGTTTAAGAAGGGAGGGAGGTAGAAGTCAGCAAATCATAGGCCGCTTAGCCTGACCTCAGTCATTAGTAAGATTTTAAAGTCCGTTATTAAGGATGAGATTATGGAGTATTTGGAAGTGCATGATAAAATAGAGCTGAGCCAACACAGCTTCATCAAGGGGTGGTCATACCTGACAAGTCTATTAGAATTCTTTAAGGAGGTAATGAGCTAAGTAGACAAAGTAGAGCCACTGGGCATGATTTATTTGGAGTTCCAGATGGCCTTGACAAGGTGCAGTACAGGAGGCTATTAAATAAGATAAAAGCCCATGGTGTTAGGTGCAAGGTACTGGCATGTATAGATGATTGACTGATTGACAGAAGGTAAGAAATGGGGAGTTTTAAAAATTCATTCACAGGTGAGGGCGTCGCTGGCTCGGCCAGAATTTATTGCCTATCCTTAATTACCCAGAGGGTAATTTATGAGCCAACTACATTGCTGTAGGTTTGGAGTCACATGTTGGCCAGATGGTAAGCAGGACAGTTTCCTTCCCTAAAGTGCATTAGTGAACCAGATGGTTCCAACAATCCATAGACTGTTAAGTCCAGATTTTTATTGAATTCAAATTCCACTATCTGCCATGGCAGGATTCGAACGCGAGTCCCCGGGACATTACCTGGATCTCTGTATTAACAGTATTAGAATAATTCTGCTAGGCCATCACCTCCTTCTAAGACCACAATGGGGATAAAGGAGTCCCTTTCAGGATGGCAGCTGGTGCCTAGTGGAGTTCCGTAGGGGTCAGTGTTGGGACCACAACTATTCACATTATACATTACTGCTAACTCTGTGGATGACACAAAAGTTGGTTTAGGGACAGGTACTGTTGAGGAAGCAGGGAGCTGCTGAAGGACTTTGATAGTCTAGGAGAGTGGACAAACAAGTGGCAGGTAGAATACAACATGGGACAGTGTGAGGTTTTGACTTTGATAGGAGGAGTAGAGGTGCAGACTAGTTAGCTTGCTTAGGCAGTTGGCTGGTTTGTGATACACATGCTGTTCTTGTTGCTGTGCTCGATTGCCGCACTGGCTGAGGTTACCATGAAGGACTCATCTTCTCAACCTCTTGGTGGCCGTCGGGTTAAACCACTACCAGTTATCTCTCTAATGACGAAAATAGCCCTATTGACAAGTAGGTCTACAGCAATTTTGCCTTTGAGGGGCTCTTGTGACACTGTGGTAGTATTCTTACCTTTGAGCCAGAAGGCCCAGTTCAAGTCTGTCTTCTCCAAGGAGTGTAGCAGCATCTCTGAACTTGTTGATTCAGAAAATGGCTACAACTAGATGGGGATGTAATTTGAAAAGAATCACAGATCAGTAGTTCTCCTTTGCATTTTCACCTGTTTTATCTGGATATGTTTTAAATGAGTGAAACATTGGATATTTGGGATTTTACTTTCCAGAATTGTCTGCTCAGTCAATTTGTTACTCTATTGGTGCTTGCATCTGTGTGGAGGGCTGTCTAAACAACTTGTGATTTATTAAGGTATTCAGTAACAATGATGGGTAAAAATGAAAATGTGTTATACAAACTGGATTCATTTATTTCTCATTAATGAATAATTAAATTAGTTATGTTATCACTTGAATGTATTACAGTGGCAGTTTTTAAGAGATAATAGCTTGAATTATTTGGTCTTGTTCTTAGCTAAACATAGAATATACAACTTGATTGTTTGGTGGACATATAAATGGAAGGTGATTTTTATTTTAATAACCTTTAGGTAATAGACAATCAAAAAATTATGTAAAATTATCAGCAAAGGAACAAAAGGGTTTAAAAATGTTGCTATCAGTCATTTTGTATTGTTATTATGACTACCATATTATTTTTGTGATCTTGTTTCACTAGACGAATTGGATAGTGGTTGCCATCTTTGAGTTATGGCTATATATTGATATGGATAGGTGGAATTGATATGCTTGTTTAAAGTATTTCATTTCTATAGTCTCAAGTGTGTTGCACCTTACTGATTAGAAATTAAACAGTACTTGGCTAACAAGCCATACACAGCGCAATACATCGCTTTACAATATAATGTTCAATAATTAATTCTTTGTAGTTCTCACTGTTAAAATGTAGCAAATTGAAGCCATGGAGCAGTTTTTGTATCACATTACAACTTATTTCATTATGTTATACCAGTGGGAAAATATCTGCCTTATCCAAAGAATAGAGCTACTTGCAGACTATGAGTAATTGCATTCATTTGCGTTCATCAGCAACTTTGCCATGAGGTTCCAACCTCTACATAGATAGGGTTCATGTGATGAGTAGAATTTGTCTCTGAATTTGTAGTCAGCAATGGGTCTGTCAGCTGCTGGTTGAAACACCTGGTGTCAACTTGATTAGTTAGTTGCATTTGCTTTCCACTCTGAAGATTCTAGGTTCAAGCATCCACCAACTCTACGTATAATTTAAGCTGACATTTGGCACAGTAATGAAGAAAGTGATGGGCGGTGTTATGCTGAAACAAAATGTTGATGAACTTGAACTTATCGCTGTGAAGCCACTGCCTTTTTCTACCAATATTAGATTTGCTTTGAAATAGAGTATGTGCACCGTGGTCAGTGACCATTGAAAGTCTGAGTTACAGACTTGAATCAAATAACTTTACCTCTGTGAATATCTTAAATGTCTTGGAGAATGCAAATACTGTTGTATGCTCTAAAAGTTTCTCAGTTTTGTAAACAATGATTGTTTATTGCATCAGGTTATAATCTATTCTTAAACCTTAGTGGGTACAATGAGGCCTGGCATTTCTATCTGCATGAATTCTTTCCCCTACTATTTTGGTGTTTAACTTCAAGGACATCGGATGGAATAAGTAGCTGGAGTATATATAATAAGTAATGGCTAACAGAGAAATGTGGATTTCAGGTGGTTATTGGTAGAGGTGTTATTTATCCTGTGAATACTGTAATTCTTATTCAGATAAAATGTTTGTTGGATCGTGCATGGGTTTTCTTTTGAGCTATCTACTGATATCTATGGGGAGGTTATTTTGTCACCATGTCCCATCAGTACATCCTTGTGTGAAGTGTACATAGGTAATGCCTGTTCAGAAACTAGGAATAGGAGTCGGCCATTCAACTCCTTAAGCCTGTTCTGCTAAGCACTAATCTTTGTGGTTGAACTATATTTTAAATCCAACCAACCACATTGGTTCCATATCTTGCAAACCCTGGACTAGCAAACACCTGTTGATCTCAGCTTTTAAAGTTATTATTTGAATGAGAACCTACAATGTTTTAAGGAAAGGAGTTCCAGATTTCTACCAATCTTTTCATGAAGATAGGTTTCCTAACTTTTCTTGGGATCATAATCTCATTTGGTCTATTGCGTGCATTCTGGCTCTCTGTAATGTAATTTAGTCAGTCCCATATCTTCACCCTACTCCCATGACCATGCAAGCCCTTCTTGTAATTTCCTTTGGAAAATTGATTGGATTGTTTCAAACACCCTTGAAAGCCTGGCTCTGTTTTTAATGTTATGTCCCTTTGTATCTTGTGTTCCTTAAATGGCTGTAAACATTGGATACCTTTGTCTTGATCAATAGTTTTCTTATCACAGTCCGGATACTCCAATGGCCACGTGTTGTTGAAGCACGGTAGACTCCAGTTGCACGTTGAGATTATGTGGAATTCCTAACAGCAGACTCTGAAGAAATTTCCTAGGAAATTGAAAATTCCGGTGAGCAAATTCCTGGAATCCTCTGAAAAAGTCTGTCAAAGTCAAAAATTTCCAAGAGTTCCCACTCGCTTAAGATTACTGTTGACCAGGAAAAGTTGGAGGATGAAAACCCATTCCAACTCCTGGATAACGATTAAACTGACAAACCACTGACACCCCTCAACTACATCCAACCCTTGACCTCTGACACTCCAGACCTGACACTCCCTTCCCCGACATGAAATCCTCACCCCCTTCACCAACTGGCATCCTACTGTCCTATCCCTTACCTTCATTTACCCTACATACTTACAATTTCACAGTTACTGTCAAAGTGCCTGGCTGCACTGATTCACATTTAAATCACTGAACATTGCACACTTACTGCTCCAAAACTGGATCTGGTTTTGATGATGATTCTCTCCCCTACCTGCAAGGATTCCTAGACAGGCCTCTCCTGTTTCCTAACAGGAGACTCCTGTCCTTGAATTTCCAGAACAGAGCTCATTTGAATGTGTCTGCATTTTGTTTTGTCTGAACCGGAATGAAAATAGGATTTCTGGGCCATCAGCTCACTATCCAATATTAAGGATTACTTTTTCAAGATTAAATTATATTTTTTCTAGCAGGTACCACCATTCCCGTAATAATTGTCCCTATGGAACAAACATGCACTAATTCTGAACGTAGTAAAGTTGCTTGTTTATTTTAATTGACTACATGATAATATCGCTGAATCAGTACTGTTGCAGCAGC